TAGCAGCAGCGCCTGCGTATTTTACTGTATATTTTTCTGAAAAGCTGAAATTACCTGGAATTGCAAGAGCACAGAAAGTTCAGGATTATTCTGAATGCCTAACAGAATAAAATGTGAATACCACATCAACATGCAGCTATTACTCGTTTACAAAAAAAATCATGTTGATCATTGCTGGTTTTTTTGTACGGGTGCATTTGGTAAGTAGACATGACCAGACGAGTGAGAGTCATGTAAGCAGGTGAAAGAAATCAAGAATTGTGAAAGGTTTTAGAGTTTTTATTTGACATGGGTATTTTACTAATTTACTGATATTGTCTCGGCCTACTTTTTCTTCCACCTATATTGGTGCAATTTTGTCCCACTCTGTCTCCTATTGCAAGCTAATGTCGCGCCAAACTTGGGACAACAAGTTTATGTCATATCATGTTCCCCGTAAATCACGCACCCTAGGTGTTAAGGTTTCAGTCACTTGTTTTCAGACGTGGGCGCCTTTTATTCAGATGTTTTAGTCACTGAAATGCATCTCACATCCATATGTCCGTTACTACTTTAACGTCAATTCCTGTTCCATATGACTAATTATAACATGAGGCAAATAGGAACATTTGCCGGTTGAAGTGTTCTAGCAAGCTCCGCCGTTCAAGTGAAATAAAAATTCAGCTGTGTTTCTTAAAATATAGCTGTATCTGTTCCATACAACAATTGATGCAGGATTTGAGTTCGGCTCATCAAGAAATGTCCCAAAAACGAAGTGCTCACTCCTCTACCAATGGCCCAAGAAGTTGGTACTAAATTATGATCGAGAAATTCTTTCACGGAGAGCATTTACATCTCGACCAAATTCTAAAACCATGAATTTGTAAACCACAAAAAAAGACACTAGCCAACTCTAAAACAAGGAGAAAATTGTGAAATATCCTAACATCGTTTACCAAAATAGAACTTGTCAATCTTTTTCGACTTCAGAATCTGCACAATTTCCTCCAAACCAAACCAGCCATTTCCCTTCTAACAAAAAAAAACCAAGAAGTCATTCGAAAACTATTCTTCCATTTTATTCCATAGCCTTATTTTCATGATATTTTGTCGAAAATGACATCTCCCATGTTGCACTAGAAACCGGGATGAGACAGCCTTCTCCATAAATAAGATCAAAAGTGGTTGCTCTTCTACTCTTAACCAACCATTGGCACCGATCTAAATAGATATGAATTGTTTATAATCTACAAGTAGAACAACATCAATCGCATAATTTATAATTTGCATCATCATAACTTCAATTATCATGGTTATATTAATCTTCATCATGAAACTTCTCTACAAATGGACATACATCAACATTTCGCTTAACATCTTTTATGATCCAAGGATGATGAAATACAAAGCAAGTTCATCGAACTATCATTGAAATGATGATCTTGTTCCATTAATTATCGGTATTTTATTGCTTTGTATAAAAATATCCACCCACTAATCACAAGCTTGAGCAAGTGTATGATCGTTCTCACGAGCTTGAGCATCTCTATTAAACTAAGGAAAAAGTCAATGCAACGATATATATCTATGTTGTATGCCAGACAAAATGACTTGACAAGGCAAAGCAAGTGATCCATCTTTCATTTCTTGCAATAGCATTTTGGTGGAGTCAACTAGCCTCAATACAATGAAAGTATTTGGTTCTTGCCTTGGTAAAACTCGACAAAGTAAATCATTGATCACCACTATTTCTTTCTCGTGATGCAAAACAAAAATGAACTCGGTTATCATAATAGTCTCATATGCAAAATATGCATCTCTTTCGATCGAACCACTGTCCTCGATAATTTTAAGTAAAACCTCACATGGTGGACTGAACATCTTAATCAAGCTAGAAATTAAATTCAAGTAAGTGCTTCATCAAATATATCTCACTCCTTGTAATGTACCAGTTTGATCGAGACATTCATCAATCGCCAACTCATCATTAGAAATTAATCAAATTATTATGCAATTTCCTCTACTCTTAGTTGGTGATTAAGCTCGGAGAAAACACCAACATTGACAACAAGACCCAAATGAGTAAAAACCCTCCACAATGCAACAACTCCTTGTGGGCCCGTTGTTAATAACAATTGCAATTAAGTAGCAAGGCAATGAACATAACATGTATGTTGACAATGGGCATGAAACTACTTTTTAACCTCGGTGCTAAATTGCCAAGTAGCTCCAACATTTCAAAAGAATTTCCTTTGTTGATGAACTATAACTAATAAATACAACTGCATGGAAAGCACACCAACGAAAGGAATGACTTCTCACACTCTTTGAAACATCCCGTCCCATATGGATAGAAGATTAAAGTTGCGAGCTCCTTGTATGCTTAAAGTTGTGGTCTGTTCATTTGTCTTTCAAGAAATTGTATTTAAAGGTCATAATGAAATACCAATTGCAATTGGCATCAACGGTCGCCTCACAAAAAATTGTTGTATCGTGCAGGTTTTTTCCAAAAATGTTTTAGTTGTCTTGTCGCTTGTTGATGCTTCCTCCAAGCGCACTTACCAACTAAGAGATGCACAAGCTGAGAAAATTTACCTAAGATTTCTATTGATGAGTAGTAGACTAGTAAAGGTCTCAATCAAATTGGTACTTAGCAAGGAGCTGAAAATACTAGATGAAGTTCTTAAATCAAATTAGTTTCTCACTTAAATAAGTTGTTCAGTCCAACATGTGAAGCGTTACTTAAAATTACTGAGGACACCGATTCGATCAAATGAAATGCAAATTCAAAATACAAGTCTATTACGGCAATTGAGTTCATTTTTGTTTTGCATCTCGAGAAAGGGATAATGGAGGTCTACAAAGGCAATACCAAAAATTAATCGAGTAGCCAACCCATACTTACTCTCCTAATTTCTACCGAAACAACGAAGGGGTTATTTTCAGCAATGAATATTGTAAAAACAAGGCTACAGAATAAATGGAAGATTGTTGGTTTTGTTTATCAAAAGAAAGATTGATAAGAGGATTGGTTTAGARGACATCCTTCAAGACTTCAAAGTGCAAAAGATCAACGAGCTCTACTTTGGCGAACGAAGTTTGGAGATTTCAAATGTTTTGCCCTGTTTTGAAGTTCTAATATGTTAAAATTTTGGCTAGCGTCTTTCCAACACTTGACATCATGAGAGCGAGCTCAGATTGTGGAACAAGTTAACAAGAAATGCATCTAATGTGTTGAAGGTACAAGTTATGATATGAAACAAAATGCACAAATCGAAGAACAAATCTAAGCATAGTATACATGCAGAGGCCACTAGAAAATCACTATAATTCCAAACCCATGAAAATTCTAGTGCATGATAACAAGAAAAGCATCCAATGTATGTGAGATGCATTATATGTGGCTTACCGTTGCTAGTGATATAGTCGAAGGATTCCAGAGCCTCAGAAGTGTTGCGGTAAATATTTGGCGATAGCATATGCACCAAATGCTCATCAACCCACCTACATAGTCCCAGTCTTCTTTAGCACCAAGAGTAACCCATAGGACTCGTTCCAAAAATATTTTCTACTAGCAAAACGCCAACTTGATTAAAACACTAGAAGTCATGATTAGGGGTCAATATGAAAAAAATTATACAGCCAAAGTAACAATCGGTAGGACAATCAAAAGACATAAATAAAAGAAAATTCGGAGACAAGATATGAATATTGTTCCTATCAGGGAGTCAATGTGATTTAAGAACGCAATCAATGGTCAATGTGTTGACTGTCTATAGGCTTGAATTGCTGCATTCAACTACACACTCCATGCTTTTACAATTTTCTATTGGCTAGGTGAAATGTSGGCAAAAATGAGCCCAACCAAGCACTACTTACGAACTTTTGTTTTGATTAAGACATTGCCTTCTACAGTATTGAACATTGGTGTTCATTTTCACAAAATCCTTAGTGTTGAAGCATTTATCATTACTTTATTAGTGACATAGAGAATAAAATGGGAATAGAAAACATACCTACGCCACTTCTTTTCCTCGTCCTCATCATCAACCACTAAACTAGAGCTCGTGGGACTGATCTTGATCCTCATCTGATCAATAATAGCTGCAAAAAAAACACATTATATCCTTAGATGGCATCAATTTCCTCGTCAAATGTACAAAAGAAAAGGCTCACATTTAGTTTATATAACTATATCAACATTGACTGAAGCCTAAATACTAAACTTAAAGAAAAAAAGAGAACCACAAATTTGATTTGATCAATTTGAAGAAAACCTGAGGAATCTTGCAGCGGTTCCCCATCCACAATAAGTATAGGCACCTTCTTGTAATCAGACCATTTGATTTCCTTCTTACTGAGTGGATTCACCTCCACAACTTTGTATGGCACATCATAGTAATCTAAAAATGCTGAAAAAGGAACAAAACAAGCAAAGTAATTATCATATATTCAATGCTAATGGCAAAAGAATGGATGGCAGAGATATGTGTACACACATCAAATAATTGGATGTATACCCCTTTCATCAAACTTAAAAAAGAAAACATGACAAAACTAGATAACATATGATGTATAAACCATTTCTAAACTAACAGAATTTGGGGAGAAAAAACATGACAAAACTAGGTGGCATATGATGCACTTTATCAATTAGCAAAGACACACATGTAAAAGTAATATAAAACAAGTTGATATGTTCATCAAAAAATTAAAAACTAAAATGTCTCGTATTAATGCAATGGCTCCTACAATCATACTCACCATCAAATTCTTAYGTATTCATGCTCTACTGCCATTACACAAGGCTTGTGTAAGTGACAAAAAGAATACCCTATGAAAACCAACATCTCTAGGCAAACCTATATAGAGATACAAACAAGGCTATGATCATGCCACACTTTCACATGTATCTATATGTTACATTGTTTGTGCTAAGAAGTCTTGCTTGCACTTGGGGATCTTTTATGCATTTTAGAACTTACAGGGCCTAAGGGTTTTCTAAGGGCTTTTTCACAGGTAGAGCCTTGTTGAATAATAAATTAATAATTGAACACATCTATGCATATATATATAATAAATATAACATATTAATTTGCCGCCTTAAGTCATGCTTTGAAAAATGTGACGTCCTTGTCGTGGCATGTAAGGCTTGACCTCGCCGCCATGCCACGCCTCACGCCATTTAGAACCTTGATCCTAAAAGGTCGATCAGTTGTTTCTGAGAAGACCCTCGACTAGCGAGAAGTGTGTGGAAGTAAAAAACACAGATATGCTAAGATTTGAAAAGGTAGATATGAGTAAGCAATAACAATACAAATAGAAAGAGAGAGACATATACGAGTAAGCAAGAAGAATATAAATAGAAGTACAATAAAAACAAAGCCAAGATATGGAAACGACTCAATGAAAGCATATGTTAGTATCCACTTCCCTCTACCTCCCTAGGTCCTTCCCCCCATCTAGATCCCTACCCTTCAGCTACCCTACTCTTACGTCTCCAAGAACTTCTATCAATAAGTAGTAATTGCGACATGTTTATTTTCATTGCAACAATCCCTGTTTAGGAATTTCTAATATCTGCCCTATATTTATTTATGACGTAAATAAATCTTGCTGATCAAGAAAACTGATAGAACGAGACTCTACCTTTGACCTTGTTACAGAAAGGGCAGGATTCGTACTGGTAAAGCACAACCTCCTTAGGAACGAGATCCGAACTAACGGGTTCTTTCGCATACGCCTCTTCTTCCACCAACAGAGAGGAGGCACCAGCAGCGACGGTGGCGGCAAGACAACCCAGCGACAGAAAAACTTTAGCAGCACCCGATGAACCTCCTGGGGACATGGATCCCATAGATGTAGAAACCCACCGCCGAGAAGAACCGGCATTGGTAGCGTAAAGGGAAGTTGCTTGAAAGAGTCTATTATATCGATGGTGGTGTTGTTCGGAGGAAGCAAGAATGGCTCGGGATAGCGAAGTGGAAGCGGCGGCGAGAGTAGAAGCTCTTCTCATCGTATGGGGTTGAGGGATGCGGCGGTTACGCTAGGGTAGGGTTGCCGGTGGTGGAAGTATTTTATCGCCCGTGGTGGGAACGGGGCTGCGTGACTGCGTGCTACTTGGTACATTCGCGACCGCTCGTGAACTTCTTAAATAGAACCAAATTTTAAAACTTGCTTATTTTCATCCCTGTATTTTATTAGAACTTGTTATTTTCATCCCTGGTCTTTCTTTGTCATGTAAGTTGCAATTTGTTTCAGTTTTCGTCCTAGGATTAACTCCGTTAAATGATGGACATATCAATTCTTTTTTAACGTTTTTTTGTGCTTTTGATCAAAAATCTATACTATATTATAAAGCATTTAGCTAAAACTCTTAAAAACTCTTAAAACTCTTAAACCCGTTCATCTCTATCCGATTTCATCCCATATCTGAATTCGTATAACTAACTGCAGATAAACACAATCAAATACAGGATAAACATCTCATTTTAAATATAAAAAATCTAAAATATAATTAGTATAATCATTAAATTTTAACAGAATACTTAATTATTATCTTTATAAAATTTATAATATTAAATCAATATTAAATTATTTTATTATTAAACTTAAATTAAAGTATAAAAAAATATATATTCTATATTATAAATCATTTGACAAAAACTCTTAAAAACCATTTTTTATGCGTAAAGTACTGTTTATTAATGCATTTTACTTAAAACTCAAGATTACAAGTAAATTGTGCATAGGTACAACTTATTAAAGCTTCATATCTGAATTCGTGTAACTAA